CATAGAAGTAAAAATCTTTCAAAAAAAAAAAAAAAAAAAAAAAAAAGATGATCAGGCTTTACTCTTTACTGAGGTAACTTAAAGATCTTTTTAATCATTTGTGTCACCCCTGAGGTAAATCAGAATCGCTGACTTGGCCCGGCTGGGTGATACAAGCGTGGGGTGGGATAGTACGGCAGGCCTGGTTTCACCTCCCGGACCACCGACCAAGCTGGACATGCCCATAATCCTAGCTAACTGGGAGGCTAAGAAGAGTCTCCCACCAGCCAGAACCTGCCAGAGACACTTAACTTTTTAGAAATACTCTTCCTCTTTCCTCCTCCCTCCCACCCATCCTCTCTCTCTCTATTTTATTAGGGGGAAGAAAGAGTCTGTGACTCAAAGTGACGTTTACATAGAGGAAGTCATCTAGAATACTGGATCTCAAACTTCGTCAGGTGACAGAGCACCTGGTAATGTCCTTGTAGATTTAATTAATTCTGATAAAAGAATTGAAGCCAATTTGGCTAACAGAAAAAGTAAATAGTTTTATATCTATAATTTTTTCGATTTTGAAATGATACACTATATTAAATACTTCAAAGGCACTACATGTTAGCGGGGTAAAACCAAATCATGTTTACATGTCAGAGCTGGTGAGACATGTGAGTAGAGTCAGTAGGGCAGCTTGCTATGCCAGTTGTGAGGTCTGACATGAAGACTTTCCTGCCCCCCTTTCTAGACTGGAGAATACCAGTAGCCAGAAGTTTTACGGCAAGGGAGAGAAATGCTGGGGAGAAGTTTTTTGAAAATTCTTTTGTGGGGACCAGCAGATAACGTAATGGTTATGTCACTGAACTCCCACATAGTCGACGCCGTTCGAGTCCCAGACCTGGCGGCTTAAACTAATGCCAGCTGTGTGTGCGTGCGTGCCCAAGATCCTGAGAGGAAAATGGAGAAGGGATTGTGGCATGGCCAGCCCCCCTGGGTGGTGATTTCTTGCTTTCTGTCTCTGTCTATCTCTCTGGCAAGTGCACCTACCCTATAGCAAAAATCTCTCTAAAAAAAAAAATTCTTTTTGTGTGTGATTTAGAAGAATGTTGTGTTTAAGTTCTATTGTCTAGTCTGACATACTTGTTTTTGTTTTTTAAGATTTATTTATTTATTCATTCATTCATTTATTCATTCATTTTAATTTGACCAGAGAGAGACACAGAGAGAGAGAAAGTGAGAAAGCAAGCCACCAGGTCCAGGATTCAAACCGTGGTCGGCCATGTAGGACTGTCCAGCGCCTTAACCACCACGCTACCTGTTGATCCCTAGTCTGGCATATTTAAGCTCTCCTAAATGTTTTTCCTTTAATCTGCTATAGGCCACACACACTCACCAGAGAGACGGAGAGAGAGAGAGAGAGAAAACATCCCCAAGGGAGGATGGCCACCCCACAATCCCTTCTCCTCATTCTCCTTGGGATTTTGGCATGCATGCCCATGCACCTGGCATGGTTCTCAAGCTTTCAGTTCCAGGATCAAACCATGGAGTTGGCCGTGTAGGACCAAGCCACCTCAACCACCACTCCACCCCACTGACCCCGTTCTGCATTTTTCATCTGCAGATACCTCTTTCATTTCTCTCTCTGGTCAATTGAAGTTATATAGTGTATTGTCTATTCGAGATTCTAGTAAACACGGGATAAACACTGGCTGCTGTACCACTTTTTAAAAAAATAAATATTTATTTAATTCCATTTGTTATCATTATCTTTTAATTTGACCAGAGAGAGGCCGAGAGAAAGGGAAAATGAGAAAGCAAGCAACCAGGTCTGGGACTCAAACCATGTTCGGCCATGTGGGAATTTAGCACCCTTAACCACCATGCCACCTGCTGGCCCTTGGTTACTGTACTTCTAATCAAAGAAATTTAATGTTTTGCTTGGTTTCTGATATCTTTTTTTTAAAATTATATAACATTTTTTATTATTATTTTAATTTACCAGAGAGAGAGAGAGGAAAGAGAGAAAATGAGAAGGCAAGCAACCAGGTCCAGGACTCAAACCGCAGTTGGCCATGTGAGAGTCCAGCACCCTTAACCACGATGCACCTGCTAGCCCCGGTTTCTGATATCTTATGATTAGTATAAATACAGTTGTGGTTTCATTAAGAAATCGGAAATGGGTAGGCTAGTGGAATGGTAGTTAAGATGGCTGGATTCCACAATGTGGTGTGACCATCTTGCAGGGGTTGGGGAGATGCTTTCTCTCTCTCTCTCTCTCTCTCTCTCTCTCTGTTTCTTTCCAGTGAGCTCATGCACTCCATAGCAAATTTTAAAAAGGAACTTCGGGGGACCAGCAGGTACGTGGTGGTTAAGGTGCCAAACACTCCCACATAGCCGACCACTGTTGGAGTCCTGGACCTGGTGGCTTTCTCTCTCTCTCTCGTCAAATTTAAATAAATGAATGAATAAATGAAATTAAAATAAATTCTTTTTTAAAAAGGAACTTGGAAATGTTGAAAATAGCTGGAACACTGGACTTTAAATATTATGTTTGCAAAACTTGATTCAAGAACCACTTCTTCAGGGACCAACAGTTAGTGTAATGGCTATGTCGCTGGACTCCCATGTGGTTGACCGCGGTTTGTGTCCCGGACCCGCTGGCTTAAAACTCAAGGTGGGCGCATGTGCATGCGTTTTCAGGATCCTGAGAGGAGAACGGAGGAGAAGGGATTGCAGCGTGGCCATTCCCCCTGGGGGGTGATTTCTTGCTTTCTGTCTCTCTCGGCCTATCTGGAGAGCACGTGTGCCCTATAGTAAAAAAGCTCTCTTAAAAAAAAAAAAAAAAAGAACCACTGCTTCATATTAAAGCTTTAAATTGAAAATTGAACAGCACAAATTTATGATCTTTTAAAAGTGGTTATCAAATAGAGACCAGCAGTTAGCGTAATGGCTATGTCGCTGGACTCCCATGTAGTCAACCACATTTTGAGTCCCAGACCCGGTGGCTTAAACTCACGCCGGGTGCACGTGCATGTGTGCCCAAGATCCCAAGAGGAGAATGGAGGAGAAGGGATTGCGGCGTGGCCATCCCCCCTGGGGGATGATTTCTCGCTTTCTCTCTCTCTTTCTGTCTCTGTCTGTCTGGCGAGCGCACATGCCCTATAGCAAAAACCTCACCAAAAAAAAAAAAAAGTGGTTATCAAATAAATAAGTCAGCTTTTGAGACAGTATGGTGAAAATGCGACATTTATAGAAACTATCAGTGTTCGGGAACAGCAGTTGGTGTAATGGTTATGTCACTGGACTCCCATGTAGTCAACCACATTTTGAGTCCCAGACCCGGTGGCTTAAACTCACGCCGGGTGCACGTGCATGTGTGCCCAAGATCCCAAGAGGAGAACAGAGGAGAAGGAATTGCTGCGTGGCCATCCCCCTGGGGGGTGATTTCTCACTTTCTGTCTGTCTCTGTTTTTCTGGTGAGCGCATGCGCCCTATAGCAAACCCCCTCCCCCCCAAAAAAAATGTACCTGGTGATTTAAAAAAAAAAAAAAAGATTTACTATGTTCAATTATTTTTTGGTTTTCCTTCTTTTGAGTTATTACGTAACTTTAAAGAGAAATCGCTTCTGAGTTAACCTTCCTTGTCTCGGCTGTGTTCTTCACTCAGAGTTAAATCTGAGGAATGGAGTAAGATAGACCATAACGTGGTGATTCATGTAGGGGCTATGCTGCTTGGGGTGTTGCTGGATTCCTGTTTCTGGTGTGATTGGCCTTTAGAAGCTACTGCTCTACCCATACTATTAATATCTTTAAGGCCAATAGTAATCTCTTTGTTTTGGATTCCTGCATTCCAAGGGACAAAATAAGCTTTTTACAGTATAGCTACACTATAGGTCAATTCTTTTTCTTGTTTGTGTTTTGGAGAGGTTTTTGCTATAAGGTGCATGCGCTCGCCAGAAAGACAGAGAGTTAGAAAGTGAGAAATCACCCCCCGGGGGGATGACCACGTTCCAGTGTCTTCTCCTCCATTCTCCATTCGGGATCTTGGGCACGCACACACACATGCCCAGCGTGAGTGTAAACCACCAGGTCTGGGACTCGGACCGCAGTCAACTACATGAGAGTCCAGTGACATAGCCATTACGCTAACTGCTGGTCCCCACTATAGGTTAATTCTGAAGCTGTAAGTCTGCTTCAGACTTGTACCCTGAACTCTTCTATCCCTGCCCTGACCAAGTAGGTTGGTAAGTATCACCTACAAATTCTGCAGAAAATGCCCAGGCGAAGGGTCTTACCTTTTCCATGAATGTACATGTGCCCGGTGTGAGTTTAAGCCACCAGGTCCAGCATTCGAACCATGGTTGTCAGTCCTGAAGTTCTTGTTCAGTTCTAATTTTAGTCAATCCCACAGAGTCAGAAATTGGATATGAATCCAGTTTTTGTGATCCCAATGCCAGAAACAGACTAGGCTCTCTCTAGTTCCTTGAATTGACTTGAATCCCTTCACAGGGTTAGGGTTTTATTCCTTATTGGGAAGGAACGCTTACCTAGAACTAACAGCCCCCCAGATTTGACCCCACTGAAATGTCCTTTACTGAGAGTACACATAAATTAGACTGACTTCTGAAAGTAAGAAAACATAGCGTTCACCTCATGGTTGGCACAATCCAGGTTGGGTATGTATGTAAAAACATTAGTAGTTTATATTTTGTTTGAGGATCATTTCTGAATTTGCCTAAACTTGCTAAGAATTTAGAAATTCTAAGGGCCAGAAGGTGGCATGGCGGTTAAGGCACTGGATACTCCCACATGGCCAACCACAGTTTGAGTCCCAGATCTGGTGGCTTCCTTTCTCACTTTCCTTCTCTGTGTCTGTCTTTCTCTGGCCAAATTAAATAAATGAATGAATATATTAAATTAAATAAATGGTTCTTTTAAAAAAAGGAATTTGCAAGTTCTATTTATCTGAGCCAGAAAGCAGACTTGTATTTAAATACTATTGCTCTTCTGTGCACAGCTCAAGGTTCTTGTATTTTCTCTTAAGCATTCCTCTCTTGCCCTTCCATCAAAAAAGAAAGGAAAGAAGGGAACTGTGCTGAATTAGCTGGCTTCCGTAGGCAGAGTCTCTAAAGTTCAACAACATATACAGTGTGTGTATTTATCAATAAAAATTATTATTTGATAAGCTTAGAGATTCTATATATAAAATCTAAATAACTAGTAGTTTTTAAAGATTTCTTTGTTATTATTTTAAATTTTTCTATAGAGCATGTGTGCTCACCAGAGAGAGATGCGGTGGAGAGGAGGGAGGGAGAAAGCAAGCCACCAGGTCCGTGGTCAGCCACGTGGGCGTCCAGTACCTTAACCACCATGCCACCTGCTGACCCCGATAACTACTAATTTTTAAAAATGGATTGTTTTTGTCTGAATTAGCAAGAATCCTTGTGATTTTTCTCAAATTGACTCCATAGTTATCTGATACATAATGACTAAACTGTTTACTTAGAACAGTACTGACAGATCAACTCAGAATTTTTTAGTGGCCTCCAACTTGGATAAAATGTTGCTGTCTAGAGACTTCAGATATCCAGCACAGGATTAGCACAGGGTCTATATTTTTTAACCCAGTGTCACCATTAACCTGTTGTTGACATGAATATGAAGGGGGTCCAAAAGGTTCATGAAAAATAGAATTAGAGTTCAAGTTTATTTTGGTGCAAAAAATAAAAGAATTGAAATCCATGTATAGTTTTCTCATAATATGGATTGTCCATGAACTTTTTTTTTTTTAAGAGAGAGAGGTTTTTTGCTATAGGCCACATTCTCTCACCAGAGAGACTGAAAGCGAGAAATCACCGCCCCAGGATGGATGGCCATGCCACAGTCCCTTCCCCTCCACTCTTCTCTTGGGATTTTGGGCACACACACACGCACCTACCTGGCATCACTTTTAAGCCACTGGATCTGGGACTTGAACCATGGTCGACTATGTGGAAGTCTAGTGATATAACCATTATGCCATCTGCTGGTCCCATCCATGAACATTTCGATGAACTTTTTGAAGACTTCTGTTTACTTATCTTTCCCTCAAAAAATACTGCTGCAGGATACAGTTTTCAAGGATTTGGGGGGCTGGCTGTCTGCTCTGCCCAGGAGAAGTTGGATCCCACACAGCAACTGCAGTTTGAAGCCCTGCGTGGCTGACCTGAAACATGCCCACGCACAGGGGGTCACAGCCTGACCAGACCCATGAAAAATGCTGCTGTTTCTCTCTCTGCCTTGCATTCACTTATGGAATAAATGCGTAGGCTCTATCATGAGCAAAGGGAGAACTTGTTAAGAATTTTGATAAGAAAATATGTATAGGTAACGTAACAAATGATGAATTTACTTTAAGTAAGTAATATTAATTAGTGATTTTCTATGCAAAAGTAAACTTACAGTCTAAAATGAATTCACTGAAAATCCTTCCACCTACTAGTAAATAATGGCGCCTGAATATGAACTGACCAGTATCTGTCTGATTTATGTGTTGCTACTCTCCATTTATTTTAGGTGTGGAACTTAAAACACAGATACTTTGAGCTTTGATCAAGCAAATGCTGCAAAGGTATACTTACAATATTTGTAACTATCCGAACATTATTATTAGAGAATCTAGACCACTTCTCTTTCCTTAACCAGGGCTCACGTAAGCCAGTCAGAGTAATAAGGAACAACCCTATCCTTACCATCACCGAGGAAGGTAGAGTGTCAGTCATTCTGGTACGAAGTCACGTCCCCACTCCTTCCTTAGAGCCTTAGTCCCCCATTGGCATTTTTTCCTCCAGTCTTTGAGATACTAAAATGGGTTATCTCTATTCATTTTTGGGGGGACACAGGCCAAAAACGTCATTTTTAATCTACTTAGCCATCAGACACTAGGTCTACATTTATGAGTTCTGCGGTTGGGAATAAACGCTCTAGTACCCTTAACTGAAAAACTCTTTAAAAAGGTCATTTGCTTAAAGTGAGAGTGTAACTCTAGGAATAAAACTCTTAAAAAGGTAAGAAAACGGGGTCAGTAGATGGTGTAATGGTTATGTCTCTGGATTCCCATGTAGGCGAGTGCAGTTCAAGTCCCAAACCCTGTGAGTTAAACTCATGCTGAGTGTGTGTGTGTGCCTGCCTAAAATCCCGAGAAGAGAAGGAGCTATGGTGTGGCCATCCCCCCGGGGAGTGATTTCTTGCTTTTTGTCTCTATCTCTCTCTGTATCTCTGGCAAGCTCACCTGCCCTATAGCAAAAATCTCAAAATAAAGGGGGGGGCAGCAGGTAGTGTGTTGGTTAAGGTGCTGGACACTTCCACATGGCTGACCATGGTTTAAGTCCCAGACCTGACAGCTTGCTCTCTCACTCTCTTTTTCTCTCACTCTATCCCACTCTGCTCAAATCAAAATAAATAATAGATAGATAGACAGATAGATAAATAATAGATAAATAAATTTAAATGAAATAATTCTTTAAAAAAAGGAAAAAAAGAAAAAGGGGAATAGTGGACTTTCTAGACAAACTATATCATTTTGGCAGCTATTCATTGACATGACAGTCTAAGCACACTTTTTATCCACCAGTTCCTCTAGATAGAACCGGCAGATTTCCACGATCTTCCTCAGTTTTTGCAGTTTTCTTAGAGGAGACCAAAGAGCATTGTAGCCCTCTGCAGCCTGTTAAGACTTGTGGGTATTAGTAGACTACCTCTGGACCACCACCTAGTGATCACAGATGAAAACAGTGCCTATTTCACGTTAGTGTTTCTCCCACGTCACTGATGACACGACTTGAACTTTTCTGGCTGTCCTTGCAGAACCGGGGGATAGTGAGAGGAATGGAAGAGAGAGGATTCTGTATGGAATGCAGGCTTCTAGGGATCTTTAGATTCTTGTGCTGTCCAAGTCCTTTTCCCTGAGCAATCAGAATAGCATGGCATACCTCTGCCCAGGGAGAATGCTGTCGCTTACACTTCAGGGAGCTTAGGTGCGTGCTACTTTATATGAAGAGGCTAAACAAAGAATCCATGCAGTTGAAAGAGGAACCTGTGTGGCGTAGTGCCCGTGGACGTTCATTGTTATCCATCTCTTTGCAAATATGGGTTATCACAACTCTATCTTTAACAGCAATATCTTACTTTCTGTAAACCTTAGGCCTGGCTCAGGATCTTGACGTTAGAAGGCACATACTGAAATGCTTGGTGGTAGTGGTGCTGGAAGCTACAAAATTTAATGCTGTGAGGTACTTCATGAAAGCTGGAAATATCTAGTGATACTGGAAATAAAATATCTCGGGCATTAGAGTGATTAAGAGGACAGAGATAATAAATAACAAAACAACACAGAAGAATATGTAATAGAATGAACTGCTTCTTGGGGTTTTTTTCTTTTGTTGTTGTTGAGAGGTTTTTGCTATAGGGCGCGTGTGCATGCCAGAAAGCCAGAAAGAGATAGAGAGACAGAAAGCAAGAAATCACCCCCCAGGGGGATGGCCATGCCACAATCCCTTCTTCTCCGTTCTCCTCTCAGGATCTTGGGCACGCATGCACACGTGCCCGGTGTGAGTTTAAGCCACCGACTCTGTGACTTGAACCGCGGTCGACTACGTAGGAGTCCAGCGACATAGCCATTATGCTAACTGCTGGTCCCTGACTGTCGAAATCTTAAGGAAGAAATTGGGCTCTTTGGAAGGGATGTTTATGAGTTTCTGAGTGTGGAGATGAGATTTTGAGTGCTCTTAAACCAATTACTAACATTTTGTGTCATGTACTAACCTCTGGAAAGGTGAAAAGAATAGAAGAATTCCCTTAAAATTTTTTTATTTTTTCGGAGAGGTTTTTCACTATAGGGCACGTGCACTCGCCAGACAGACAGAGACATAGAGACAGAAAGCGAGAAATCACCCCCCGGGGGGGATGGCCACGCCGCAATCCCTTCTCCTCCATTCTCCTCTCGGGATCTTGGGCACGCACGTACACGAGCCCGGTGTGAGTTTTAAGCCACTGGGTCCGGGACGTGAACCGCTGTCGACTACGTGGGAGTCCAGTGACATAGCCATTATGCTAACTGCTGGTTCCCTAGAACGCCCTTAAAATTAACATGAAGAGAGAATTAATGGGGGCCAGCAGGTGGCATGATGGTTAAGGTGCTGGACTTCCATATGGTCGACTATGTTTGAGTTCCAGACCTAGCAGTTTGAAAATCACACCAGGTGTGTGTGCATTTGTACCACAATCCCAGGAGGAGAGTGGGAGAGAAGGGATTGCAGAGAAATCATCCCGCGGGGAGGAGGCTGAGTTCTCACTTTCCCTCTCACTGCGGCTGTCTCTGAGGGACATACTTGCCCTATGGCAGAAACCAAAGAAAAGAGAATTGATGTCTGTAGCCCAGTACCTCAAGTCTTTAGTTACGTGTCATTTTTGAGGTGTTCTAGGGGATATTTTTTATTAGTGAAAGGGACCAAAGTCTAGATAACATGCATTTAATTTATGTTTTTACATAAAGCGCTACACATTTATAATGGAGATTGGGTGGAAACAGAGAAGGCAAAGAGGTCACTTAACATTTAGCTTGCACACTTTCCGTTTTCTATTTCTAGGTGCACAGATTCATGAATATTTGTGCTAGCACATGTTTTGTGATCTGCTCTTTCGGTTGCTGTGTGTTAATACCTCATGTCATTAAATAGCTATCTAATTTGTAATAGTTGCACAGACTGTTACATCCTGAAAATGTGTTGTGCTTTAACCCGTCCTCTATGGTTAGAGCGTTTTGGTTGTTTTGAGCATTGAACCGCGATAAATCTCCTTAGTAAATAGTAAATCCTACATAGTCCTAATTCCTATTTTCTTCAAAAGACTGCAAAAAGGATCTTGCTGGTCAAACAATATACATACCTTTTTTTTTTCTTTCTTTTTTTGGAGAGGTTTTTACTGTAGGGCGCATGTGCTACCCAGAGAGACAGAAAGCGAGAAATCACCCCCTGGGGGTTAGGGCATGGCCATGCTGCAGCCCCTTCTCCTCCATTCTCCTCTCAGGATCTTGGGCACGCATACGCGCACGGCGTGAGTGTAAGCCACCGGATCTGGGACTCGAACCATGGTCGACTACATTGGAGTCCAGCGACATAGCCATTATGCTATGGGCTGGTCCCACAGTATACATATCTTAATATACATATTTTAAAAGGCTGCTGATACAGCTCAATTTCTCTCTAGCAGTGTTACTTTTTTTTTTTTTTTTTTTTTGGAGAGGTTTTTGCTATAGGGCGCGTGTGCTCGCCAGACAGACAGAGAGAGAGAGAGACAGAAAGCGAGTAATCACCCCCCAGGGGGGATGGTCACGCCGCAATCCCTTCTCCTCCATTCTCCTCTCAGGATCTTGGGCACGCACGCACACACACCCTGCGTGAGTTTTAAGCCACCGGGTCCGGGACGTGAACCGCGGTCGGCTACGTGGGAGTCCAGCGACATAGCCATTACGCTAAATGCTGGTCCCCTCTAGCAGTGTTATATTAAGATTAAAAAGTACCTTAGGATTCTGATTGAAGTCAAATTCTGTGTTTTATACCATTCTGACTTAATTCTATATAGTCCGTTGTATGAAACCCAGCACGAAAGGGTAGACGGAAGGTTATTAGTAATTCACGAAGTACGTAGGACCTTTTCAGCTAGGGGGTTTATGGAATGCTAGTGCAGATTACCCCTAATATTCTAATTATACATGTGCAGATTTTTGTTTATTAATTTTTATCAAAATGAAATAATGCTTTAGACTCTATGAAATTCGTTAATTATGTGATGCTGTTGTAGTGTTTATATCAGCATGGAATTACGCCATTCGAATACTGAATTCTTTACATACTGAACTGTTGCCTTTTTTCTTTTACTTTTAGCCACGTAAAGAAGATCTCTAACAGGCATTTCTCGACAACTATATAGTCAACTGATGTAACAATGGTACTAATACTGGGACGCAGACTGAACAGAGAGGATCTCGGGGTGCGTGATTCCCCAGCAACTAAGCGCAAAGTTTTTGAAATGGACCCCAAATCTCTGACAGGCCGTGAGTTTTTCGACTTCTCTTCAGGATCATCCCATGCTGAAAACATACTGCAGATATTTAATGAATTCCGAGACAGCCGCTTATTCACAGATGTTATCATTTGTGTGGAAGGAAGAGAATTCCCCTGCCATCGAGCTGTGCTTTCGGCGTGCAGTAGCTACTTCAGAGCTATGTTTTGCAACGACCACAGGGAAAGCCGAGAAATGCTGGTCGAGATCAATGGGATCTTAGCTGAAGCCATGGAGTGCTTTCTGCAGTATGTCTATACTGGGAAGGTGAAGATCACCACAGAGAATGTACAGTATCTCTTTGAAACATCAAGCCTCTTTCAGATCAGTGTTCTTCGGGATGCGTGTGCCAAGTTCTTGGAGGAGCAGCTTGACCCTTGTAATTGCTTGGGAATCCAGCGCTTTGCTGATACCCATTCACTCAAAACACTCTTCACAAAATGCAAAACTTTTGCATTACAGACTTTTGAGGATGTGTCCCAGCATGAAGAATTTCTTGAGCTTGATAAAGATGAACTTATCGATTATATTTGCAGTGACGAACTTGTTATTGGTAAAGAGGAGATGGTTTTTGAAGCCGTCATGCGTTGGGTCTATCGTGCTGTGGATCTGCGAAGACCACTGTTACATGAGCTCCTGACACATGTGAGACTCCCTCTGTTGCATCCCAACTATTTTGTTCAAACAGTTGAGGTGGACCAATTGATCCAGAATTCTCCTGAGTGTTACCAGTTGTTACATGAAGCAAGACGGTACCACATTCTTGGGAATGAAATGATGTCCCCAAGGACTAGGCCACGCAGGTGAGAAGACTGTTTACAAGTAGAGCTAACAAAAGGTTTTGTTTTAAAAAATACTTAAACTCCTTGGGGCCAGCAGGTAGCATGGTGGTTAAGGGTGCTGGGCTCTCACATGGCGGAATACGGTTTGAGTCCCTGACCTGGCAGCTTGCTTTCTCACTTTACCTCTCAGTCTCTCTTTCTTGCTCTATCCCTCTCTGGTCAAATTAAAATAAAGAAATAAAGGTAAATAAAATAATTTTAAAAAAATATTTAAAACTCCTGAAAGTATTCTTAATACTAAGAGTAATATTAGTCATTAATATTTGGATTATATAAAAAGTATTAGATGGTCTCTCTTAGTAAAGACTAGAGTCAGCAATAGCATTTTTTGTTACTGATATTCTGAGCTGTCAAAGATATTGCAAAAAATTTTAGTGAATTTTTTTGTAATATAAAAAACATAAAATTTACTATCTTTAAACCATTTTTATTCATACAGTTCAATAGTGTTAAGTACATTCACGTTGTAAAACCAGTGTTTTTATTTTTGGTATTCCACCTTCATTTTTTTCTATAAGTTTCTATATAGCATAGTACAGAATAGTTTTAGGTTTGATTTTGGGTGTCATTGTTTTGGAAAATGATTAAGATTCACAGTCTATACTAGTTTGGAGATTGCAAGATTTAAGTTTCCTCAGTATGTAAAATGAGAATGATGATAGAGTTTATTTCACAAGTTTTCATTGGAACTATCAAAGGCATAATCCCTAAGTACCTAGCATAATACTTGGTTCATAGAAAGTGCTTAACTATTAGCTACTATTATTTTGTATGCTGTACTGTGGTCCAGTAAAACAAACATACCAGATATGTGTGTGCATGCCCAAAATTCTGAAAGGAGAAATGGAGAAGAAGAGATTGCGGTGTGACTGTGTGTGTGACTAGATATATAATTATATATGACTGCATGCGTAATAGTCATATATATACACATGCTTATAGTTTCATATACACACACATATATATGCACATACATACATATATACACATGCTTATAGTCTCATATACACACATATATGCACATATATACACACATGCTTATAGTCTCATATACACACACATATATATGCACATACATACATATATACACATGCTTATAGCCTCATATATACACACACATATATGCACATACATATATA